GGGCCAGGGGCTGGGCGGCGGTGCGGGTCTGAAGCGCCGCTTTCCCCTGCTCCTCTGCAGTTAACTGCTGGGGGGGACACGGGACTTGGCGCCTTCGGTGGTTGGTACCGGCTGCTGTCCCGAAGGGGCGTCAGGCTGCGGGGTGTGGAAGGGGGAGCGTAGAGAAAAACACGTTTCTCGTCAACTTAGACACTTCTCGTTAATACTGTGCTAGGGTAACTAAGAAAAAAATAAGAAAGGTGAGTTGTTTTACTTTTTGGCCTCTGAATTCTCCTGAATGGGGAATGCTTTGTCTGAAGGTTTGGTGCTGTTTGAAATGTGGGAAAAGTCCTCCCCTGAACCTGTGCTGATGGTGTTGTTTACTCATTCGTTTTTTTGTGGTGGTTTTTTGGTGTTTTTTTTTTTTTTTTGAACAAGAGTCATGATTTTTTTTTCCTCAAAGGTGAACACTTAGGTAATTCCCACCACTGGCTCCAGCTGATTTCAGCTATATGTAGATAGAACTCAATCACTTTCAGATCTGGAGATCTTCCTTAGTCTGGAAGTTTTAAAGGCTCTACTGTAAATTTTTTCTAGATACATACAATAGAAATTGCATACTGCGGTAGCAGCCTGTCCTGGTTTGAGGCACAGCTCTTTCTGGTTTGTTTTTTGTGTCTTTTCATCTTTCCTGTGAGAGAGTATTTTTAAATTACATGTGAATTACGTTCCAAAGACACAGCCTGAAAGCTTTGCTTAACTTGGTGTAGGTTTGTAAGTGAGCAGGATAAAGGAACTGGATTGCAACAAAGGATTTATGTTATTTTTTTTAGCAAAAGGCATTAGCTTTCACACGTTCTCTGATCCTGTTGTCTGCAGTCATGCAAGGACTTCTGTTGCCACGAGGGAAGGTGTGTGGGAGAGCAGCAGAGGATCTCCTGGTAGCGCTGGCATAGGGGAGAGAGGCAGCAGGCTCCTTGGGTGACAGCGATGCTGGCTGTGTGAAAGTGCAGCATTAGCTGGAGTTCAAATGATAACAGCCACATTTAGGCAAGGCTGTGCAGCTTTGAAATGCTTCTATTCCAGTAAAGATCAAAGGACTAGTGGTCTTGATCATCTTCTGCTTTCAGGCTCCTCCAGAGTCACTTCCAGCAGAGGACAGCATGTTTCAGTTTGCTCTCCTGCTTCAGTTCTCAGTATTTTTTTTTGTAGCTGAGCTTTGCTTGAAAAAATTAGTTGTGTTTTGTGCTTTATTGGGTCTAGCTGCTGACACCTTTTTTGGGATTGATGTCCCTTTCTTGCTTTCCTTGTTTCTTCCCAGCTGCACGAGGACTGCCTCTGCTTCCCCCAGCTCTTGTTCTCACTTCTGCATTTGACAATCAGTAGTCTGGATTTGTGTGGCCCTGGGTTAAACCAGCCGGGTATCTCTGCAGGGTGCTTGCTGGGAGAGGGCTATGCAGACCCACACAGACTGACCTTACCTGGACCCAGCAAGGTCTGTTAGTCCCTCCTTTACCTTCCCAACAAAGGGTGTCTCTGCAGTGGGACACCAGTGCTTTAAAGCATATGCGTATGAGGGTAAAATTGAAGTCACTGTAAGTAGGATTCCTGGATTTCTTTGGGTTTGTTGTAATTAAGGACTCTCCATCTTGAAGTGGTTCTAGTGGGTCACTTTTCCTCTGTAATATCCTTCCAATAACTCCGTTAAGGTTGTGTTTTTATTATTATTTCCATATGATGCTACAAGCCTTCATGCTGGAAGTAATTTCTTACTAATGGTTAATAAATTCTCATAATAACTGATCTAGAAGCTGGAAGTTCAGATGAGGAACCTGTGAATGAAGCATGAGGGGGAAAAAGGAGAGGTAATTGACATTTGTTCTTTCATAAATTCACCGTGTTTCAGGCACAAGGAAGGAATGTCTAACATTAGCTTATTTGTTTTGAGAACTAGTAAGTTTCTTATGGAGATTTACCCTTCTTAGGCAGTCTATTCCGATAGTTTGCTGTTATTGCCATTGAAAATAGTTCTTCTAATTTCTAATCTAAATTTATTTGCTGTATTTTAAGCATTTAAGAATTCTAATGTACATTTTATACACCTTGTAAACTCTTTATTACACCTCTTCTGCAGGAATGTGTCACATGTTTTGGGGGCTTTTTCTTTGGTGTTTTCCATACTTAAGAAATTATATTCCTTCAGTCTTCTCTCTTCAGTGATATTTTTTTTTTTTTTAATACATCTGTAGGCTATTCTTGCTGTTTCATTGAGGCTTTTTCCACTTGGTTTACGTTTTTCTGGAACACTGAAACTGGACGTGGTGCTCTGAGTCCTTAGTACAACAGGCAGAATCAAAATTATTTCCTGTGCTTTTCTTATAATACTTGCATTTCATACACCTCAGTAGGATAATGAGTCTTCACACGTTTTTTATTTTTTGAGGTGGTATGTGTGATTTATGTTCAGCGTAAGCCCCAGATTCTTTAGCACTTTACCACTCAACATGTCTCTAGGCAGAACTTTGCCTTTCGTGTTGTGTTATGCAGCTGATTATTCTTACCTATTTGCTCTGTCAAACTGCATATTACTTCAGGTGACTTTTGCACTTCCTTCAAGTGACTTTGGATTCTGAGTCCCTCCGTGAAAATGCTTGTAACTGTCCCAGATTATCCTCTGTTAACTTAAGAAAAATGACCTTTCTGTCCTGGTATTTTCCAATGTGTAATTTGTGGACAAGATGGTGTCTGGGAGATCTCTGAAGTTGTTGCTTATAACCATAAGAAATCAAACTGAGGCAGGGCAAAATACGGAGTTGTCTGCAATAAGTTCCTTGAGAAAGAGCCTTTTTTCCCCTTCCTCGAGTTACTATTTCTAACAGTGGAGAATGTTAAAAGATTAGAGCTGTGTGAATGGGCTTGCTGCTTATTTTCTCTCTGACTGAAATAATGATAACTTATCTCTGGGTATGGTTTTGTAATCATCTCTCAGTACTTCACTGTGTACTGTATTTGTTTAGATTATATGACTGTCAATGTAAGAGTGTCAAAAGTCCACTTAAACCAAAACTATATTGCCTCTAGTTGCTGTTTTGCTGCATTGTTATTGTGTCATTGGAGGAAATTATATTTGTTTGATATGGTTTATTCTTAACAAATTGTGTGTTGGATCTTATCTGCTTTGTTATCTGAAATATGCAGGAGGTAGGTCATTTGCCTGATTGTTTCAGTGTCCTCCCAGGGACTGACAGGAACCCTGACTGGTCTGTGTTTCGCTGTGTATTTGGTTTCCTGCCCTTTAGAGGCAGGTGGTTTTGCCCTTCTTCAGGCTGCTGGAACTTAATGCAGAGAGCAGAGGTGATCTTTGATAACATTTACCTCTTGAAAACTGACAAAAGCAGTTATGTCTACCAGATTTGAAAACCTTGAAATACTCTTTTAATGCAGTAACCCCTGAATATAGTCCATAGGTTTATGGAAGCTTATTAAGTTGTCTGCAATAGGTATATTGCCTTTATCATGCTTTCTGTTTGAAGTTTGCTAATAAATATGCATGGAAAAATTCAGAGTCTTGTCTTTATT